ATGATAAAGAAAATTTTTCCATAAAATATGTTTATCGTTATTACCGAGTTGTTGTTTTCTTATGCTGATTTCCTACTTTTTCTTATTGTTTAATATAAAAAATTCTATAATATAAATTTCATCAACAATGTCGTCGAGTGAGGAACAAGATAGATTCCTCGGAGCCGGAGAAAACCTAGGGGGCCTTAATGGTTCCTATCCAATAAATTAATGTTATTTTTACTAATAAAGAATAACGTCTTTAGGACTACTTTTTATTAAAAAAAAAAAACAGTCTAAGTATTTCATTTGTCCAGAAAAAAAAAAAATGGTAAAAGTGCACGGTCTATTCCCGGGCCGCATACAAACTCTCGACGACCCTGATTATCAATACACAAACTTCCGATATAAAAACAGAATTCAAATGTTAAACAAGTGACATTTCTATATTAATTAGGTCTATGCATTTAAAAAAAAGCTACATTATTAATTCAAATAATTTTAGTGAATGCCATTATTAATAAATCACTAAATTTAATTTTCTTTACATTTTGAGGTAAAAACATTACAAATACTTTAAAAATCTTAAAATTGTCATTTAAATGCTTTTTTAGAAAAGAGCAAAATAAAGGGAAAAAATAAATCAATGCTTAAACAAAGAAAAAAACTGATCATTAGAATAAGAAAACGATCATATGATGTTACAGGAATGTTAAAAACTAAACCATTTGTAAGAGAAGTCGAGAGCATAAACAAAAAGTAAATATTTGTTTTGTGGTAAAGAAAAGATCTCCGACAAACCATAACAGAATAGGTAAATGACACAAAAAAAAATAACTATCGATTACAAGAATAAAATTCATACATGACTATAAAATAAAATAATAGACTTATTTTGAATAAGTGGAATTTAAATAGAAGAGGAAACTGCCTGTCTACAAATATTTAATGCATATAACGAGAAAATAAAAGCACCCGACGTAAATGAGGACGGAAAAATTATTCGTGCTTTAAAAATATAATGTTAATAATGCATTAATTACAGACTAAACAGATTGCAGCTGTTAATGAATAAATTATACAAAACATCTGTAAAATGAATTTAATGCCATCAAATAAAAAAGTTTAATCAGATACGTATATAAAATATTTGCTATAAAATTTAAAAATGATGCCCGTTCTGAAAAATGAAGAGTTTCATAAAGAGAAACAGTAAAAAAAAAAAAAAAAATTTGTCAATGTAAAAAGACGAACAAATATTAATAAAAACAGTTACAAAATAATAAAGTTCCAAATTGCTACTCTTACGTAGTCTACGAAGCGTAAATATAATATATCAGATTGTTAAAGTAGTTAGTTACTCAAAAAAGAAAAAAAGAATTGTCAGCATACTGGCACAATTAATTGTTACACGCAATAAATCAAAAATGAAACTTTATTTACATTAAGTTATAAATTTCGTTAAGTGAAAAACAGAAATACAAAATGTAATAAGTGACGAGCGGACTAAACGTTCGCTTATAAGTAAACAGAGGAAATAAAGCAAGAGAATAAATAGAGAAGATGCTGAGTGGCTTTCAAATTATTCTATGAATTTACAAGTATTTATTTTTAAAGCGTTATAATTTTTTTCTAACTTCTTATAAAATAAAATATAGAAATATTTCTTTTTTGTAATTTAAAAGATAATTCTATCTATACATTACAAGACTCAAATGCTGTTCCGCTTCCGTATTCAGGAGTCCAGAGAATTCGTAAATATAGTTATATATAAACAGTCAAATATAGAACAGTTACATAAATAACTGCAAGACTCATCGTGAAATTTGTGACAAGTCGAAAAGACCGCTCACAAATACCTATAATGAGATAGAAAATCGACGAACAACTTAAATAAATAGTAATCAATTAAGTAAACTAATAACATACAATTACATCTAATCGAAAATTAAATAACATGATACTCGGGAATGTGAAATAATATTAATAAAAGAATACAAAATAAATTAAACTTATTTCGTCATTCGTCATGTAAGCTATTTACATATGATGTAGTTAGATATATAATTATGTTACAAGAGAAATTTTATATGTAATTATCACTTGTTTCCATATTTTTATAGAGTTTGTTTTAATTTTTAACTTNCTAGTAAAAACTATGCTATAATTTAAAAAATTTTTCTTTTTATTTTTATTTTGAAGGAAAAAACAGTACGGGTGTTTCATAATAATAATGGCAATGTAATGCTATACATCCACTTTAAAACAATAAAGTTACATTTAAAAAAGAAACTCAGAATTTATAATGCGATATTCAACGAATAATTTAATAAGGTTATTTTTAATATCTAAGGATTTTATTCATATTTTATTTATATTTTTTCGTTGAGGTTAGTCTAGCAAAACGTTACGAAGGAACAAGTGTATTACATCATACACGTCTTTTATTAAAAAAATTCGGCATTTACAATAGGAAAGAGATACTTTAAAAGCAAAATTCCCGACGATTTTTTTTAGTTTTTAATGATAAATAAAATTTCATTTTATTATATCTTCAGTTACAATTTTAAAAAATTCAACCCATTTCATTGCATTATGTGTTAAAAGATTACTACAGGCAGAGCATCTGCTACGTATCACGGAATGATAAAATTCTACGTTAAATTATCTCACGCTGATTACATAATTGTCATTATTATTAAAAATTAATCGTATTTAAACTATAGATATATAAGATTATGAGAAAGTAATAATAATATTCGAAAGAAAATTTAATCATTACACTTATCAAGTAATCACTGATCTTGATACCCAAACATATTAATATCGATAAATTTTATATTTAATCTTATCCAGATAATTTTTCTTTTACTATCCACTCGAAATGAATTCTTGTAGATATCAGCCAATTTGCAGCAACAGTATGAGCTTTACATTCCGATAAATTGCATATTTTAGTAATGCAATTTCTTATCTTTCCTTTTCGTCCCTGCAAAGGAACATCTCAGGAAATCGGTAATATCATTTTTTTCCTGGATTTTGAACGATGACTTCTTTAAATTCGTTCAACGTTTCCGACAGTTACCTGACTGCAACAATGTCCACTTTTTTCCGATCTTCAATCATAGTTTCTGTTATGACAATCAACATAGGCGATTGTGTGTCGGATCTACAGATAAAACAAACCATATCTCTTATCCTCTGCTTCAACCAGAAGTCCATTTATCCTGAAGAATTGCTACTGACACATAAAGTATTACTTTCCTCGCTGTAGTTGATTTTATACTCGTTCAAGTTACTTATCTTGACGTTTTTCTTACTCAAGTTTATAATTAATATCCGTTAATAGAAATATAACAAGATTTGGCAGAAATGTTTTTCTGTCAGCTCAGTTGATATTGCTCTCGAATTTATATTTTATCATTGTTCTGTTTTCCCAAACATAGTTTAATGACCAGAAAGTTGCCTAAACTTCCAATTTTATCATCAAGCGTTTAATATCCGCAATAAATTCGATTTAATGGGAGAAGAATAGCTCGTTAAAGTTGGTCTGCACAATTACATCCAATGGTAAAACGAGTTAAAACTGTGGGAAAAGAAATTTTCAAAATAAAATTCACTCTTATTTTCCGAACAGACATTCGCATTTTGGAAAGTTATATCTGTTCTATTGAACACTTCAACCCATCTCGAGTTTTAAAGCTTTATATCAAACTTATTCTAGGATGGTGTTCATTGAAAAGAATCATTTTTATCTTCTTACCAGTAAATTTGACACCAAGTTTGAAATCCGTGCAGTTTTTCTCTTTCTTTTTTGCCTTAAAGAAAGAGAATAATTTTAAGGCAGATTATTGCAATTTATTATTACTTATAAATGAAATATTTTCTCATCTAATCCTTACAAATTATTTACTATTATTAATTGTTGTGTTAAGAAGATTAAGAAGAAAATCATTTCGATAAGTATTCTTTTTATTATTAAATAGAAAAAAATCTTTTCATTCAAAATGATTTTTTAATTTTATGTAAAACTGGTTGAGATTTTGCACTGATATATACTAATTACGTTGAGTTTAATTAGCTTCTTCACATGGTCAATAAAAGTCATGTTCCTTTGACATAGTCCAGCCTCAACACATATCTCAAACAAACGTGGTCATACAAGGGATGATAAATGAAAAGATATATACTGTAATACACATACAGACCATCTAATTAAAGATCCAATATATTTCTATAACAAATAGAATTTTCATTAAAGCACTAAAGAAATTCAAACTCGATAAAGATTCTAATATCGGATCATCATCTGTACCTTATATCGATTGGATGTTTGTTTATGGATATTACATATAGATTCGCATTTCCTAGGAACCACTCGAAGAAAACGGAAGAAATCCATTTATAGAAGTAGCTTATAACTATTACCAAGTTTATCTAGATTCAGCTTATACAAATAAAAATTCAAGCAGAAACATTAATATTTCCTTAGATTAACTGAAGTTTGTTGATACAGACAAACAAACTGGCGCGATGGAAGTCAAGAACCGCATCGAATATTGTTTATATAACGATAATCCGTTTAGTTCTATTTTGCTTTAAAAAATAAAATATACAGCTCGTGTATAATTAATGTTTCCGTTCAAAAGCAAATGCTTAATTAAAATTAACCTTTACAAATTTCTTATGAATGTTTATAAATGGAGTGTTTACCTTCGATGAATAGTATTTTATTCTCTGTTTTTATGAAAAAATATCTTCTGAAGATTCGAAATAAACTTAAATACGACAAAGGAAAAAAATCTATAAATAATAATGAATTCATTAACGAAAGAAAATAATTATATAAAATAAGGATTTTAATAGACGAAAGCTATTGTTATATATAAGTAGAAATCTGCCACTAAAGCCTTTTAAGTTTTTTGCCCCATAAATAATAATTTTGACAGATTGAAAATGCGCTACAATTGCGATGCGTTAATTACGCGTAAGATAGGCAAGAAGAAGATGCAATTACTTACCCACTTCCAATAGAAAAGCAATTATTTTATGCGGGTTTCACATCTCCATTTGACTGAATAGCGAAGCAATATATTGTAATTCGGTGCCTCGACTGTCCTGCAGTACTTAGGATCGAAGTGCCGTTCTCCTCGCAACGCTACTGCAAGAGCTACGACTGTTGGTAGCGCCGCTCCGTGCCAGAACAGGTAAACGTGGCACGGGTCATACGCTCCAATTTGTCAATGGATCGCTTCAAAATATTCCCAACCTTGTTAGTCACTATAGAAAAAACTCGGCTTTTTTTCCCTCTTTTTAAAGATATTTTTTTTAAATTCTTACCGATATAAAGTATATCCTCATCTTTCATTCAAATTAAAACATTAAATATATTCGTGTTTCTTTCAGTTTTTTTACTTCATTTATATGATTATTTCTATTCATTATTCTTTCAAATGATACTAATTCTAGTTTATAAATTAATAAATCAAGTAGTTACTTCGATAGTTTTTAAGTAGTATTTTAAAAGTAATTTTTAATACAGTATATTTTTCTTACAACAATAAATGCAAAAATATTTATCATAGAAATTCTTAATCGAAAACATTTTTAATAATAGAAATCTTTTAAATTCATTTTAACTTAATATTACCAATTAAAACGACGAAACGACAATTAAAATTCCAAAGATAAATTTTCTATTTATCTGAGTAGCCGAGGAATTATTAAAATTTAGTAGTTTATCCAATACTTTTCCGATATATTGATAACGAATGGAGAGTCGCGTGTTGGTTACTTTCAATTTCTGGCGCGAAAAAGCAGTCAGGCAGAACCTATCCAAGCGCAAGACCAAATAGATGCAGCAATTTGGGAGGATATCTTAATTCGAGCGAGATTGGTGAACCCGCCAAGCGATGCACTGTAGGTCAGTCAATTGTCAGCACACGGCAACCCAAATGTCTCTCGGTGGAGATGTTGCTGTTGCAGAATCGATCGGCTGATATTCTCCCAAGCTTCACCTAACACTAAAAACCAAAATATTATTATACTCGGCGAGGCGAAAGCATTTTTGATTTTCTGTCGAAAAGTCATTGCTGCCATCCATTTATAATGTGGTTTAATTAGTGACCACCTTTTGATTCGCCTTTGGTTTTTTTTTATAAATAAGACAATTTGTAAGATTTTGTTCTTAGCTTTTGTACGGTTGTCGGTACAAGCAATCAATTACTGGTTGAGTGACCATATTACAGAAATAGCTTGAAATTACGTAATACTTCATTTTTTCTATACAAGATGGAACTGAATAATCCAATTTTATCTCTAATTATAATAAATTATTGCAAATAATTCTAGAATTAGTTAATTATATAGAGTTTTTTAAAATAATTAATTAAATAAAATAATTTATTTTCTTTACTTAAAAGATATTAGTAACCAATCCATTTCTTCATCGTAATTTTTTAGGTTTTATTTTTTATTAAGTAATAAATATAATTAATTTCTTTCTAAAGAATATAATCTTCCAATCGGTAGCTAACGTATGTTTTGAAAACTGAAACTTTGTTAATATTTTAAATTAATAGACTACGTTTAAATTAAACATTTTTAAAACAATAAATCATTTCTGTATTTGTTACTGTTACTGCATTTTTTTAAAAGAAATAATAAGTTGAACGTCTACTTGAACTTATATGTATAGTACTAGCCTTACTTAAGCTTAACATTATACATTTTCTCTTTCTAATTCTTAAAAATCTTTCTAGAATTCAGAGATATTTATTCATAAGTAAATCGTCGTCCATTAAATCGTGTATTTTAACAAAGGCCCACAGTATAAATAATCTTCACCATTTCTACTGCATTAAATAAAGGAAAAAGTGTTTATAAAAATCAAAATTTCGACATTAAATTCTTATCGTGTATCTAAGAATTTTGAAAAAAGTCCATTTATTTAGCATTATAATTTTACTTTGTATTAACTCTTAAATGTCACCTAAGAATAAATTTTAATAGAATGATTGTTAGTATTTTATCGATCACATAATTATAAAATTATCTTTATTCGTATTATATTTTAAGAAGTTTTTCAAGGATATTTTCACAAAAGAAGTGTAAAGTAACAAGACTTCTTACATTGGAATCTTGGACACTCAAGAGATTTAAGGTTATCGTATTGCCAGTTAAGTAATTTTAAGTGCCAAGTAGCTTGAAAAAATTATTTTCCAGCTTATATATCTTCCTTTATAATGATATAATCATTAAAACCTTAGTTTGAATTTATATTAAAAAATTCAATTAAAATCTATTTTTAAATAATAAAACAAATTTAATATAAATATTTTATAATAGGAACTTCTATAAATTAAAAAATATAGTAAAAATATCTTAATAAATATTTGCTTTTATTAATTCAAAAACTTCTACCTTTTAAAATAACAATATCTTTCGTTTAAACACGAACGATTTAATAATAAAATTTTAAATTAAAATAAAAAATATTACAATGTAAGATTAATATTTTAAATGGAAATACCTTTAAAATATGTGAAGGAGGAGGCCAAGAAAAGTAGACATGGAAGAAAAACGCCGAGAGACATATACAAGTTTCCCTCCATTAAACATTACGTCTCTGCACATGGGATTTGTATACTGTATATCTCGTATACTTACATCTAAAACATCTTTTTCTTCGGTTGCTTTCTTTCAAACACCACGATTCGCATCGTAATAATAATATATTTCAATTTAAGATAGATTTCTGCATTATTTTCTTTAATGATAAAATATTGTTAAAGGCATTTTATTGGCAACTAAAAATAACAATAATTTCTAATTTAAATTGTTTGTCGGTAGTTGAATAAAAGTCACTTCAAAGAACGATTGATTATAAGGCATTTGAAAAATTAGAATATTTATAAACAAAATCTAATTCATTAGTGTTTAGCAAGTAAAAAATAAAATAGAATAAAAAATTTATCTTGTTATAAATTTTTAACGGCCAAATATATTACATTATCGTAATAAGCGAAGGATGGAAAGTTATTTTTAGTATTTTAATATTTTGTTAAGTGTCCATCATTTTTAAAATGCATTGAATTTTTTCATATTAAAATAAAATAAAATATGAAAAATGTATATATGTAGAAAATTATATGCTATAATATATACGATTATAAAGTTTAACGGTATCAGTGAAACTTGATCTAGATATTTTTCCTCTATAGATGAATGTTATACTCTACAATGCACAGGTAAACACAAATTTAAATACAATTCTTAGGAAAATAAATGGATAAATTAAGTAAACAAGATTTTCTATTAAAATAAATCAGTTTCTACGATATATCTACGAACAAATTTTTACACATAATTAATAGAAGAAATAAACAAAACTATAATATTATATTTATTTATTTCTGAGTTATCTGCAATATCTTCCTCAATTGATCGTTTGAAATGCTACCGTGTACAGTATCTAGTCATCCTTAGTTAAAATATTTTAGCAACATATCTTACTGGATAACACAGGAACATTTATATTTATAGCAACTTTATATTGGCTATCCTCTCTCTTCCAAGATTATTGTATTCACTTACGATCTCTTCTCTGGCACCGAATATGTAGTCCATATCTATATATATAAGATATATGGTCTATGTATGGTTTATATATACTGTGTACATACATATATATATATTCATATAAACCATGTAAAATTTTCAAGTTGTATTTATTAAATTATGAGATTATATAAATTAAATGTTACTTTGAATTTAAGAATAAAAACTAATAATAAAAATAAATTAAAATAGTCAAATTACATTATCATTAATTTAAATGATTATAATTATAAAAATTAGATTATTATTTAATTTTAGAATATTAAGTTCTTTAATATTTAATCATTTTATAAACAAAAAAGCAATTTTTGTTGATGATAAAGAAAATTTTTCCATAAAATATGTTTATCGTTATTACCGAGTTGTTGTTTTCTTATGCTGATTTCCTACTTTTTCTTATTGTTTAATATAAAAAATTCTATAATATAAATTTCATCAACAATGTCGTCGAGTGAGGAACAAGATAGATTCCTCGGAGCCGGAGAAAACCTAGGGGGCCTTAATGGTTCCTATCCAATAAATTAATGTTATTTTTACTAATAAAGAATAACGTCTTTAGGACTACTTTTTATTAACAAAAAAAAAACAGTCTAAGTATTTCATTTGTCCAGAAAAAAAAAAAAATGGTAAAAGTGCACGGTCTATTCCCGGGCCGCATACAAACTCTCGACGACCCTGATTATCAATACACAAACTTCCGATATAAAAACAGAATTCAAATGTTAAACAAGTGACATTTCTATATTAATTAGGTCTATGCATTTAAAAAAAAGCTACATTATTAATTCAAATAATTTTAGTGAATGCCATTATTAATAAATCACTAAATTTAATTTTCTTTACATTTTGAGGTAAAAACATTACAAATACTTTAAAAATCTTAAAATTGTCATTTAAATGCTTTTTTAGAAAAGAGCAAAATAAAGGGAAAAAATAAATCAATGCTTAAACAAAGAAAAAAAACTGATCATTAGAATAAGAAAACGATCATATGATGTTACAGGAATGTTAAAAACTAAACCATTTGTAAGAGAAGTCGAGAGCATAAACAAAAAGTAAATATTTGTTTTGTGGTAAAGAAAAGATCTCCGACAAACCATAACAGAATAGGTAAATGACACAAAAAAAAATAACTATCGATTACAAGAATAAAATTCATACATGACTATAAAATAAAATAATAGACTTATTTTGAATAAGTGGAATTTAAATAGAAGAGGAAACTGCCTGTCTACAAATATTTAATGCATATAACGAGAAAATAAAAGCACCCGACGTAAATGAGGACGGAAAAATTATTCGTGCTTTAAAAATATAATGTTAATAATGCATTAATTACAGACTAAACAGATTGCAGCTGTTAATGAATAAATTATACAAAACATCTGTAAAATGAATTTAATGCCATCAAATAAAAAAGTTTAATCAGATACGTATATAAAATATTTGCTATAAAATTTAAAAATGATGCCCGTTCTGAAAAATGAAGAGTTTCATAAAGAGAAACAGTAAAAAAAAAAAAATTTGTCAA